CCACAACGCCCAGCTATTTTTTGGTTGCAGCCATTATTGTTGTTTGGCGGGTCCCGGCTGGATTCGAACCCGCCACCTTAGGTGTATGTGGCTGGCTCTTTAGCTGCTTGAGCCACAGGCGCTGAACCAGCAATCTGTGATTTTGAACAAAGTTTTAATTCCATCTGACAGTAGCCTCATGCAGGCCTCTGTATAGTTAGCTCTGTAAGAGATAAGGGTGAACAGAGCTCAGCTGGTGCTGCAGCAGGACCTGCGTGGGGAGCTCCGAGTGTAAAGCAGCTCCTCATCTCTTGGGAAAGGGACTCTCTCACTGCAGAAAAGAAACACTGGAATATATTCCTCTGCATCCTTCTCCCAAACCTTCACAGAAAACCCCAAAATGGCCTTGTTTACTGCCCTGCCCGACAGTAAGTTAAACAGAATTCCAAACTAGAAGCCCGGACATTTATTCACCTGCAAAAACATTTTGTTGAAGTGCTTCTGATGTACTTGTGTCTAGATGTGTTTTCAATTACGTGGAATAGGCTTTTGTTCTTAAGCTCTTCCTGTCTGTCCTGAACACTACTTGAAACTCTTTATGTTCATGAAAATTCTACTATAAAATTTTCAAAGCACAAAAGGGGGCATTGTACATGTGGTTAAAGAGAGATAAAAAGAACACTAAAATATGGATTCTGCCAGGCATGGTGGCTCACACCTATAATTCTAGCACTCTAGAAGGCCGAGGCTGGTGGAATGCTTGAGTTCAGGAGTTCGAGACCAGCCTGAGCAAGAGTGAGACCCCTGTCTCTACTAAAAATAGAAAAGTCGTAGTCCCAGCTACTCGAGAGACTGAGGCAAGGGAATCGCTTGAGCTCAAGAGTTTGAGGTTGCTGTGAACGATAACACTTCATCACTCTACCCAGGGCGACAGAGTAATACTCTATCTCAAAAAAAAAAAAAAAATAGATAGATAGATGGATGGGTATAGATTCTATGTATTTTATTTAAATGATTTTGAGGTTTGGGGAAAATTTTTAGGTACTCATTTTCTTTAGCTAGAATGTTTAGTGCTTTTTCCTTAGTTATTGAAACTTTGGACTTATAAATCATGTATATCAAGTAGAATTGGTATCTGGCTATCTGTTAGATGGAATTCCCACTAAAATTGAGATGCTCATAAATAAAATCTTTGTTACATGTAAAAGAATTACATGGTCATATTCAAAATTGAAATGGGAATTATGACTTGGTCTGCCAACATCTGTTTTGTCAAACTTTTTGAATAACTAGTAGGTGATAGAGATTATATGTAGAAAAAAGCTACAAAATTCCTGCATAACAGGGGTTGAATAAATCAAAATTTGCATCGCCTCACAAAGCATACATTAGGGATGTCTGGACCTAGCAGAACATCCAAGCAAGAGGTTATTTTGCATTTTAGAAAAGTTATTGGTAACATCGTGAAATTAAGGAAGTAAACAATTCCGTTCTACCTCAGAAATAAACGAGATGATGTACTAGATGTTTGCATCTCGGATTTCTTTTTACAAAAATCATTTGCTTGTCTTTTGAGTGAGCAGAACGGTTGACATGCTAGGACTACAATTTAGGAATTTCTTTTGCCTGAGAACATTTAGGCCAGAGAGAATATTGTATTGTGCAGCTGTGATGCCTCAAAGTTTCTAACAAACTTGTTGATGGTGACCAGGGCTAGACAGCTGCTGCATTAGTTAGGGAAGAAATTGTCCATCCTAGATGACAACCAGTCAAAGCCACATCTGTGAGGGACACACGTGGTATTTGCCCAAGCAACCCAGGTGCATGTGACTCCCCAAGTTATTGGATACTTGCCCAAGGGTGGCCCAAACTTAATCATGATTGAGAGCTCTTGGCGATTAGACTCCATGTTAGATTACGGAGAAGACGTAAAGGAATGTTTTCTGCCCAGAAAAGACACAGTTTCTCCAGAAGGGAAGATCTCACTGCCTGCCTCTGCCAAAACAGTTGGATCCAAATGATCATTGCTGATATTTCAGCTTAGCTGGCCAAGCATCTGTACTTTATATTGCAGTGAAATCCAAAGTCAATCTACTTTTTCCAGAGGAAGGCAGACACAGTGTGTGTGCGGTGGCGGCGTGCCTGGTGGATGGAGATGTGCCTTGCTGTGCAAGAGGTTCAAACTGGGGCAACAAGTAGTGAACAATCATAGAGTCATAACAGGAGAACATGCAAGCCTGCACTTGCTGGATAAAGTCTTTTGATGTACTCGGAACGCTTCACCGTCTTCTGGAGGCATCTCCTGAAGATTGCCCTTGCTGGAAATAGCTAGCCTTTTACAGTGGTTTTCTTTTCTGTATCCTCATGTTCTTTTTTTATTTATTTATTTTTTTTTTTCAGTTTTTGGCCGGGTCTGGGTTTGAACCTCCCACCTCCGGCATATGGAGTCAGTGCCCTACTCCTTTGAGCCACAGGCACCTACCTATCCTCGTGATTCTTCCAGAGGATACTGAATTAGAATTGTGAACACCCTTTTATCTTTTCTTTGAAATAAAAGTTCTTTGGGATACTTTTTAGGACAAACCCATTGGTTTTGACCATGGCTAGAATGAAAGGAGGATAAATACTTGCCTAGAGTCACATGCATCTTTTTCTTGATTTGTTGGGTGAAGGACTGGAGATTTTTACTGCAATAAGGACCCCTGGACAGAATGTTGCCTCTTCACCTGATAAATCTTTACAGACTGCCACAGGTGAAAACATGTTAATACTTCTTTAAATTATTCATTTAAAAAATTTAAGTAGATCCCACTGGCAATGTAGGGCACTGAAAATAAATCATTTTAATATATGTATAGTGTTTTTGGTTGTCCTTCAGTTACTAAAGAACTGTATTTTTAAAGCTGCTTAATATTGGGTTGAAGACGTAATTATTTTCATACATTAGAGACACTGCACTGGAGACTTTATATATCTCATTTTATTATGCAAATCACATCAGTTTTAATTGTAGTAAACATCAAATATAGATAAGGAAAAGGTTAAAAAGAAAAAAAGAAGCAGCCTCCTGTAAGTCTACCAGCCAGAGCAAACACATCAACAACACATCTGTGTTCTTTCAGATTTTTTCCTTACACATAATTTTTTTCTCTAATGGACATTTTTACACCAGCAATCAGAAAACTGCTATCCTCATTCCCAAACATAATACATTTCAATAAATACAGATGCACATCACCATTTTTAATGGTCCTGTAGCATCTCATTATAGGAATGTACTGTAGTTTATTTACGGTATCTGCATTTGGTAGGTGTTCATGTTTCCAATTTCATAGTAATCCAGAGAAAGATATTTTTATGTATATCTTTGTATAGTTGCCTGATTTTTTTTTTACTTTGTATGTCTTAAAATTAAACCAGTGTCCCTCGTTTCTTAAGGAAAAGCTTTTGAGCCCTTGATTTTCAGGCAGTTGTGATTTTTAACTTGATTTTAGGTGTATGAGCACCAAGATGGCAGCAAATCTCTGAAGCTGGGTGACTTTGGACTGGCCACCATTGTAGACGGACCCCTGTACACAGTCTGTGGCACCCCCACATACGTGGCTCCCGAAATCATTGCCGAGACTGGGTAAGTGCTTCTCTCAGGGTTAAGTAAAATGCTTGCCAAAGAACTCGACTGCTTCAAGAACAAGAAAAATGGCACTGCTCTGTCCCATCAACATAGAATGAGCTAGTAGGCTTCTTTCCTGCCTTTTTACATTTTATTTTTTAACTCTTACAGCAGGAGCCATTTTCTGTGTTTTCCCAAGCAAGTTGCCAATGACTGCAGTCTCATTTAAGGCTTCCATTTGGGCTTTATTAAAGATAGAACAGAAGTTATTAACTTCAGAGCAAAAAGGGTTCAGACTAACAGAGAAACACGCAACACTGGTAATTAACTTGCATTTGGAGATAAAAGAAACAGACACCACTGTGTACAGTGATTATAGTCTACTGGGGTTACTTCTGTCAGCTGCCTTCCTCCTCCAATCCTAGGCTCTTTTTGGCCCTCCTGGGGACCCATTGATTTTCTGTGGGGTGCAAACTCCCTTAGACATCAGAGGGCTACTGGGAATCTGCTGGGGTTTGTGTGCAGACCAGATAAATGAAGATCTCCATCCTAGAAGCAGGGAGAAGGCAGAGTAGCCTATTCACCACTAAGGACCTGCTGTATGCCAGGCCTTAAACTCATTGACTCACTTCTTTCTTCCAGTAGATGGTACTATTCCCATTTTTCACTTGAATAACCTAAGACTGTCAGGTTAGATACCCTGGCAGTGCATGACTAGTTAGTGGCTGAGTTAAAATTTGAACTTAGGAAAAAAAAAAAAAAGAAATTTCATATAGATGCATCCTATGAGGAAAGTCTAGGGCAGTGTTCCTCAAGTTTCCTTTTCCTTTTCCAGCAAGATTTCCCTGGTTGGGAGCCGCTGGTGCAGGGGTGTGGTAGACATTCAGAAAATGCCTCGCAGGGTAGGCATGAGGCCAGAGGAGCTAAATAACGGTAGTGATCATGATATAAACACAGAAGGTATAATCTACTTAAAAAAAAAAAAAGATTTGAACTTTGGTTAGACTGAGTTAAAGGCTTTCAGTAAAGAGCCTGTTTCTCACCAAGAGCCACAGGTGGGGCTCTGTGGTGCTATCTGGAAGCAGAAGGAATAGGAAGGGGAGGGGGGTGGCCAGGGAGGCAGCCCTGTGTTCGTTTCTCATTAGCAGTTTCAGCCCATACCTGGGAATCTAGGTGACACCATCTCTATGACTCAGTAGAGCGAGATTTTTTTTTTTTTTTTTTGGCACCATAGACCACAAGGACAGGAATACAGAACAGATGAGAACAGAATCCCACTAGGGAGATCCCTAAGTGATGTGAGGCATAAGAGTTGGGAGCCCACGTTGGGAGCTCTGCCTACCCTCCCCCAGATGGGACTGCATCAGCACTGCCACGCGTCCTACCGAGACATCCAGAGACAGGTGCTGGGAGGAAGTGGTATGGGGCAGAAAGAGGACTTGAGGGGCTCCGGAAGACATCAGTTGGAGCCCAGTTCTGCCTGCCACTGAATGACTGAACAAAATTACTTGCCCGTCTGAACACCAGTGTTCTCTTCTATGAAATAAGTAGGCAGTGCTTGTCCTGTCCCACCAGCAGAGTTGTCGGGCAAACAAAATAAAACAGTGTAGTCGAAGGCCCAATGCTCTGTCAGTTGGAGAATTAAATAATTATTATTCCAGGCAGCGCCTGTGGCTCAAAGGAGTAGGGCGCCAGCCCCATATGTTGGAGGTGGTGGGTTCAAACCCAGCTCCGGCCAAAAACTGAAATAATAATAGTAATTGTTACTATTATTGTTATTCCTAAAATAGGGGAGTTAGAGAGTCTGAAGGGTCCTTCCCTATCTCAAATACTAAACCTTTTTGCTGAAACCCTTCACTGACTGATACTTGCATATGAACCCAGGCACTTTACTTTGATTTTTATTCATGTGCCTTAGTCTTTTGAAAAATCATTATTTATTTTTTTGTTCTTTCCTAGAACTCAGTAGCCAGTGGGCTTTAGTTTTAGTGTTAGGTCATTAGGACTTTTGTTTGTTTGGTTTTTGGTTTTATTTTGGGTTTGGAATAGAAGAGTCTTCGATTTTACCATGCCCCATAATTTGTCCTGGCCTGACTTTGCTAACTGTAACATCACTTTGTTTTCCAGATACGGCCTCAAGGTGGACATCTGGGCAGCTGGCGTAATCACTTACATCCTGCTGTGCGGTTTCCCTCCATTCCGTGGGTACGGGCAGCAGTCTTTCATTCAGCACCAACAAAGCATTTCTCTGTTCTCTGAATTGCCATTTGCTCTTCTTGCACAAGGCAGGCAGAAGCAGGAAGAGAACATCAGGAGAACTTTACTTGCGAACCTTATTTTTTATATGTTGTGCATGCTAATTATATGCCTTTCGTAAATCTTCCTCATAGAGTTTAAGAACTCATTCTTTCTTAATTTACCAAAACGGTTCCATACTGACATTTTCAATTGCTTAGAAACGCACATTTTACCCATGTTGGGGGAAGGAAGGTCCAGGTGCGTAGGGATGGAGAGATGTGTGCTGACTTGGCGTCTCAGTGCTGTTCTCCCTGTTGTTTTTCACCTAAACAGAAGTGGTGATGACCAGGAGGTGCTTTTTGATCAGATTTTGATGGGGCAAGTGGACTTTCCTTCTCCGTATTGGGATAATGTTTCTGATTCTGCAAAGGTAGGTTTTCAGTGCCTTCCTCTCCCACATATCCTGTGTAACTTAGCAGAGTTAGTGATTCCAAATCATTATGTGCAAAAAATCCAACGACAGGCCAAGCATGCGGTGGCTCATGGCTGTAATCCCAGCACTCTGGGAGGCCCAGGCCGGTGGATTGCTTGAGCTCAGGAGTTCAAGACCAGCCTGAGCAAGGGTGAGACCTCATCTCCACTAAACATAGAAAAATGAGCTGGACATCGTGTCAAGCCCTGTTACTTGGGAGGCAGAGGCAAGAGGATCTCTGGAGCCTGAGAGATTGAACTGTGATGCCACAGCACTCTAGCCAGGGTGACAGTGTGAGACTTTGTCTCAAAAAAAAAAAAAAAAAAAGAGCCAAATACCATCCTCAATATGATTTCTGGACACACTCTCGTCGTCATGTCTAGGTTTTCTAAGTTTCCCTAGTCATCTGTTCGTAGCCATCCCAACAAGTACTTGCCAAATGCTTCTCCACCTCACTAGTTGCCCCTGTTGGCACTCCAGTGACGTTGCTGGGTCTCACTGTGCCCTGCTTTGCTGAGCTTGAGCTGACCTCAGATTTCTGTGTGGGTATTGCCTCACCTCTCTCAGCTCTTGACTTCTCAAGTGAAACCTTCCACAGGCCAGCCTGTTCCCAGTACAGCCTGTTCCCAGTACAGCCCTTAAACGCTCCCGGACTTGCCTTGTCTTCCTTTCTCCTTCATTTTTCTCTATGACGCTTACCATCCTTCTGTCCATCTCATATATCATCCACCTACCTGTTTATATATACCTACCTCTCTAGGGAAGTAGACAACCTTACATATGTGGGTAGGTCTTATGTATATAGTTTATTTCCAATCTCTCCCCACTAGAGTGCAAACTCTGTGAAGGCAAGAATTTTGGGCTATTTTGTTCATTGCTACATCATCAGTGCCAAAATTGTGAGTAGTACATAAACTGTTGCTCAATATATATCAAATGAGTGAATAAATAGATCAATGAGGGAATCAATTAATCAAAGGGAAGAAAGCTGAACTTCAGAGTAGGCTGAAACGGTCCAGATGGACTTTATGGGGAAGCTGGGGTTGAAGGTAAACCTTGAAGGACAACAAGGATTTGGAGACACAGGGTTATGGTTCATATGGCTTTTATTACACTAAACTAAGAGCTCAACCTCCAGAGTGGATCATGGTGATGATTGCACAACAGTGTGAATGTACCAGATGTCACTGCCCTGTCGTTCAAATGGCACATTTTATGTATATTTTACCACATTAAAAAATAATCATAGTAGGTCAACCTCTAAGAAAAGTATACAAATCTTGCCTTTGTTGACCTTAAGGAAAAAAAGGAAAACCTTTTAATTGCTGTCGTTTCAATTTATATTATGTCTTCAAGCACTGACTTGAACTTTCAGCAACGCGCTATGGAGACATAACTATCTTCCAGCTCTTCAGATGTCTGTCTGCTCTCTCACCATGTCCCAAGTATGAATTCCGTTCCAAACCAGACCCCTGAGATCTGAGCACTTTGCATGGAAAATCATGTATACTGGGCACAAGTCTCATTTTCTTCACTCATCCAGGAATCTGCCTCTGGATTTAGGCAAATGTATGAAATTGAAATAAGTACCAGAGGAAAGGCACAAGATGGCAGGGGCTGATGATGCAGTGCAGGGATGAAGGTGGAGGTGTTCTCACCAGGGAGCAGGTGCTTCAGGACCCCACCCAGCAGTCAGTGTCCCCCCTTTGTGACCTGAGGGCAGAGAGGATCATCCTCTTCACCTGCACAGCCCCACAAAGGCCATCAGACAGAGGAGTTGCTTTAGTAAGGCCCAGTCCAAGTGAGAAAGTGAATGAAGAAAGCTGGATTGGACTCTGTACCCCAGTGAAAATAGATCATTCCCGTTCCAACTGGTACTAAAAGCCTAGGAACTTAATTATACCATCTAACCTTTTTGTTACATGGCAACTTCTAATCCAAAGTGGACAGAGGTATGAAAAACTCATCATGGAGACCAAAGCAGTGCCTTCATTCAATGTGAGCTCATGGAGAAGTTTCATTAATTTCAGGATCATTGAATAATTTGCCTCTTAATAGTTCCATTTTCTCTGTATTAATTAGTCTGGAAAAATTTGAAGCAGTTTTAACACATTTCCTTAGAATTTTTTGGCTACTACAGGATAATTGTCTGTATTTTATCAACTAGCTGTTGGTGATTCTATGTCTTTCCTCATTCCTTTCTTTCAAATAGACTGTCTTGACATTAGAAAAAAACACTTTTTACTTTCAGCTACCAAAGTGAAAATGTAACTGAAGTGTTATAAAAATTTGACTCCCATGTGAAGCTAATGGTAAATCTGTCTTAAAAGTGCACAATCCTAGACAAAGAAAGGAATATTTAATCCCTTAACTTGTGTAACTAATGTCTTTTATGCCAGAAACATTTTTATGACATTGATTTTAATATTGATTTAATTTTCCTATCAACCACAAGCTATGTATTTGTAATTCCAAATATTCACCTTTCCTTAACTTGGGAAGGTGTTTTTCAGGAAGCCGCAGGTAGGTGAAGTTGATATATTTAGGACTTTGTGCTTGTACAAAGACCTCTCCACACTAAGCGGGAACTCCCGCCCTGTGCACGCCCCGCTTTTTGCCTTAAAAGATAAACAATGGGATCTAATGTTCCCCTGTGCAGGAGCTCATCACCATGATGCTGTTGGTTGACGTGGATCAGCGATTCTCCGCTGTGCAGGTCCTTGAGCATCCCTGGGTGAACGTAAGTGACTGTCTCCCTTCTCTAGAATCACTGCTAATGCTTCTTTTAAAAATCATCTGCAGACTCTTTTAATGTTGTTGCCTCCTTTTTAAAGTGGTGTGTTTGGGTCCGTTCGTCCTCTCCAAATGTGCCAGGACAGTGACAGGACCTAAGACTTGTTCCAGAGGGCATCTGAAGCGTTGTCTGATTCTGACGGGGCAGCCTTCTGATCACGCTGCAGCCTGCAGCCTGCCTTCTCTGGTCCAGATTAGAGCTGAATAGTCATGAATAAGACACAGCAGATTTTCTGAGTCTGTCCTGCTTTTGTGTTATTTCCACCACCAAAAGTACAAGTGACATACGAGTTTCTGCACACACTCTTGAGTGCTCCAGTGGAGCACTGCTCACACCCATATATGCTCACAGGGTTGGAGATCTTGTTAAAAAGCAGATTCTGTTGCAGTAGCTGGGAGGGTCTGCATTTCTCAAAGATCCCAGATGCTGCTTCTGTGGTCTAATGGTATTTCTCCAGAGCAGAGTCGTTAATTGTTAGCCCTAAATCTCTTTACAACTGATGTATAAGATTTTTTGTAATTGATAATAAAAATAACTAACACTCATGGAGTTAATACAAGAGTTAATACTCACAGAAGCTTAACTTCTAGAGGCTGCCAGCACTGGACATACATTAACTCTATTATGTTTGTGTTGATTGTATTCTTCCCAACAACTTCCTTGTAACTTTATAACCTCGTTACGTTGTAAACCCCATGGGTAGATGTGGAAGCTCCCTAGCTAGATTTCTTTCTGCCAGAACAGAAAGACAGATAGAGATTTGGATATAGATGCAAGCAGGTACATGGAAATGGATACTCCTAAAATTTCAGCTCATTGATATAAGTTATTCCAGGCTTCCTGCTACGCCAAGTGATCTGGCCTGTGTTGCAGACAACGAAACGTTTCATTTCTCTGAATTGTCACCTTGGTCAGTGGTCAAGTAGTTGTTTTTCAAAATAACTAATTATTGAGGACAAGGTATCATTGAAAGCACAGTCAACATGGAGTGACGAGAGCTTGGGATCTTGTTCATGTGCCACTTGATGGCCAAGGGTCTAGATTCCAGCACTTTCTGTGCCTGAATGTGGTTCTTCACATTTGTGTCGGAAGTTATATATACATGACAGAAGAATACATAGGAATGTGAGCATGTCTTATTTTAAGTCTTTTCACATAGCAGAGTTTATACAGATGTGCCGAGATATTAGCCCCATGATCCCCGGGACAGTGGGGCAGGACAGTGGGGCAGGACAGTGGCATCCAGGAGCGGCCCCTCCCAGCCTCATGACCTTTGCGTTTTTCCCACAGTGCTAAGCAAAACCTATGCTTTTCTATGAAGCAGGAAAGATTAGGAAACATCTCATTTGAGCTTAATAACAAGCCTACAAGATAGGCAGTGTATCCTTACCCATTTTACAGATGAAGAGACTGAGGCTATAATGGTGATTTGTCCAAAGCAGCCAAGCTTACACCCAAGTCAGAATTTTCAGCAAAGTCTCCTCACTCCACCCCCAGATATTTTAAGGTCCTGTGCACCACCCTGTCATCTACCCTCCCTTTCTTCCTCTGGTAAAAGGCACGGCATTACAGTGTTGTCATTCTAATGATCGTTAATATAAGGTAGCAACTTTCGAGAGGACCTTGTCCGGATCTCAGTGCCTTCCCTCAGGTGTGCAGGGTGGAAAAGGTACAGGCCAGCTGCTGGATATCTTGGTAGCAGCAGCTAGTTCTGTCTGATCTACATGAAAAATCAGTGGTCCACAAATAGTCAAGTTGCAGGATAGTCCCAGAAAGACTGGAGAAAGGGTGACCCCACAAAAGAAAAGAGTATCTGAATTTGAAATGGGGGTTTAGAAAGACTCCTAAAGAACCATAGAGGAAAGAAAGAGATTAGAAGGTGGCAAGGCACTGTTTTTGATTTCTAAATATATTTTCACTGCCCGCCAGCCCTGTCTCTCCAGAGAGCAATGTCTGACACAACCAGATGGCTCCCCCAGCCTGCCTCTGTGGGGGCCATGTCATGAAGGCTTCCTGGAGAAGGAGATACAGAACTCAGTCCCTGGAAGGTGGTGAGGGAGATGTCCTCCTCTCCCGTGGGGCATGGGCGTTTGCTAGAAGATGACTTTGTGCATGTGAGCAAACTTGTCTACCCCCATGAGAATCCCTTCCCCTGATTCCACAGCAAATGGCCCTCTATTAAAGAGCATCTCAACTCAACTGCCGTAAAGAAGCAAAATGAAGACGCCTTCTGCTGTTACCTGTGAAAAACTATGTTGCTTATTTTCCTAGGGCAACACACGGGTCTCAGCACTAACTTTTTGCCTTCTCAGCGTGCTTTGTGCACATTTTTACACATGGTCCCACTTTGCTGATAATTAGGTTCCCTGGCTCCCTCTGGAACTGGTTCTTTTGCTGTCACTTTAGTTTTCTCTCTCAGATTTTCTTAAAACATTTCCTAAAAGCAAGGATAGCATTTAAATAATCCTAGTTTCAAAACTAAGAAAACATCCATTCTATAATTCAAAAAGACTTCACATCCTAAAGGAAAAGAAAAATATTGGTTCCAGAAAAGACGTTTTAAAACTTAATGCATCGAGTGATTGCTTCGCTTTTGAAATAGTTTTTGTATAGTCACTAAGTCAGAAAACTGATTATTTTCTTTGTGTCAAAATAATATGTAAGAAAAGTAAGTGTTCCCAACTCAGGTACAGTCTGCATTACAGTCTCCTGAGTACAACCAACGAACAACCAAGCAATCGAAATAAATAAACTAGGAACTGAAAAGGACATCCATTTAAGGAGACATGCTGCATTTGACAATCAAATTATATCTGATCACCACGAAGGATGCTACCTAAGGGGGAGAAAAGTAATAATAATTACACGGACCCTAAGGAAGTCATCAAAAAACCTCTTCCTGTGTGCTCATTAGTTCTAATTTTCTCTATTGCTAATGCAATGACCTTTTCACCCAGCACACTTGGAGTTGGAAAGGCAGTCTCTTATGAAAAAGAGAAGAGCATAAGGGCAGTGGAATAAGAAGAAAAAAAATCTAGTCAGCAGAAGTCATAGTTTTAACCTCGCTCCAGGAGCTGCCTCTAAGCCCACATTTATTTTTCATACGATGCTCCTTGGCACCCCTGCCCTCTGTCCTGCGGCTGGAAGAGGCCAGGAGCCACATGAACAAAGGCAGGGTCAGGAGGCAGCCCCGAGTCTAGGAGAGGAAGGCAGGTTCCTGGAAGGTCACCCACCTGCGTGGCCTTGAGCAAGTCATTTCTCTCCTTGGAACCTGTTTCCCAATTGGTGAAACAGAGAAAATAAGATTGCTCTGCCTGCTTGCTATGAGGCTGGAGAGAGGATCATATGTTTGAAGGGCCTGAGGGGACGATCGTAAGTCCTAATGCGTCATAGGTAATAAATATTTGGTGAATTTGAGTCTGAGCAGAACAACTTGTATCGTGTATAGCTATGTCCCAACGAAATGTACATTGTCGTTAATGTTGGCATTTGAGAGGCTTGATTAAGAAGGAAAGACTCCCCCCAAAAAATGACAAAAAATAACCCTGTTGGCGATGCCTCATCAGCCCTGAGGCCTTTTCCACTATCACAGCCACTTCCTTATGTAGTTGTGAAATTGCCCTAGCTAAATTTATTTACTTTATTACCCATCTAATGGAGAAATAAAATTTAGGCACACATATTAGAAGAATGGTGTTTTGTGAGGATGAGGTGAGAGGATTGCTTGAGGACAGGAGTTTGAAACCAGACTGGGAAACATAGCAAGACTCTGCTTCTATAAATGTAATGATGGAAAAAAAAAATTAGCCAGGCATAGTGGCATGCATTTTTAGTTCCAGCTACTTGGGAGGTTGAGATGGAAAGATCCCTGAGACCAGGAGTTTGAGGTTACAGTGAGCCGTGATCATGCCACCATCCTCCATCTGGGCAACAGAGTGAGACCCTGTCTCAGAAAAGAAAGAGAAGAGAAGAGGAGGAAAAGAAAAGGAAAGAAACTAGAATAGGCCATGAAATCTAAATTGATCATTCTAAAATCTGGGAGAGGTTTGAGTCAGTTTCCCCCGAAATGACACTTTATTGATAGAAATTATAGGTAAGTGAAATGACACTTAAACTGAAATGACACTTCCAAAAAGATTTCTTAGTTGTAATTAGGATCAAATTATTATTATATTTCAAACATATATTGCTATAATTCCATTTTTATCTTCAAAATGTTGAGCTGCCGTACCCCACGCTACTCTCCTAATATTCTAGGATGCTACCATTTTAACCCATGTTTTATCTCAAATTATTTTGATTTTACTATTGAAGAAACTGAGGCTCAGCAGAGTCTAGCACGAGTCTCTCTAGCACAGGAGCTGAGGCCTGGGATTTTGCCTGGAGAGATTTTGATTTAATTGCTCTGCACTAGCATCTGGAAATCAGGACTTTTAAAAGCTCCCAGATGACTATTAAGTGAGACCAAGTTTGAGAACCTTTGTCCTGGCAGAAAAGACTGGTTTAAAGAAGTCAAGCATAATTACTCAGGCAACATAAGACTTCCTCCACAGCCTTTACGTTTTGTCTGGCCTCCTTTATCCCATCTATCTACTCCTTTGAAAAGACACTGCCGAGCCAAGAGATTCAAAAAGGAAAAAAGAACATGAGAGATAATCTGGGAGGAATCTGGGAGATCATCTCCCAGGGTATTTCACACTGACTAGTAAAAGTCAGCCCTACCCACACAGAAATATGTCCACATTCGTCATCCTATGCTGGTAGAATTTGTTAGACATTTGATGAAGCCCCAGGGCATTGTAGTGATATACAAAATCACTAATACATATTCATAAATTGTAAACGATGATGTGGAATTTCACTTTCCGTGTGGGCATCTTACCCTCTTCTTGCTCCAAGGTAGATACTAATTTACTTCACATTTTCTCCCTGAGTGTGTTGTGAAT